TGTAGTGAAGAAGATAATGGGTGTAGTAGTAGAACAAGGAAAAAAGGAAGGAAGGAGAAAAGGAAAGAAAAGAAGGAGAAGCAAGGCAGGAAAAAGAAAAAGCAAGAAACAAAAGGAAGAAAAAGAAGGAAGGAAGGAAAGAAGGAAAGAAAGGAAGGAAAGAAGGAAAGAAGAGGAAGGAAGGAAGAAGGAAGGAAAAGAGGAAAAGAAGGAAGAAACAAGGAAGAAAGGAAGGAAGGACCAAAGTATCTAGGTGTAACGACCCATCACTCCGACCAGCAAGTTAAAGTGTTGTAAACGTGTTGGGTTGAGAGGCACCTGCGAAATGGACTCTGTCTCAGGATGTCCGAGAGGAGGGGGGGTGTGTGTCCCAGGGTGTCTCAAGATGTTTCAGGGCGTCGGTGTGTCTCACGGTGTCCCAGGGCGTCTCAGGGTGTGTCACGGTGCCCCAGGGTGTCCACCATGGTGTCTAAGGTCTCAACAAGTCTCAGGAGGTCTCCACGAGTCCCAAAAGGAGAGAGGGGGTGATAGAGGCAAGGCTTTTCTCACCGTCTTCAACATTTTGTCTCCTTGTTATCTTCACTGCGAGTCACTTTTATGGGTAGTAGTTTTCTTGGGTACTATCTGTGTGGTTAGGTACTCTTAGTGTGCTGATGTACTTCGTGGTAGTATTTTTGGGGTACTTTCTCTGTGGTTGATTACTTTTAGTGTGCGATGTACTTCCCGTGGTGAGTTTTTTGGTACTTTCTGTGTGGTTAGGTAATTTTAGTGTGTTGTTGTACTTTCCGTGGTCGTAGTTTTCTTTAGTTTTCTGTGTGGTTAGGTACTTTAATGTGTTGATGTACTTTCCGTGGAAGTAGTTTTTCTTGTACTTTCTGTGGGTTTACTTCGATGATGTACTTCCGTTGGTACCGTGGCGTTAAAGACGATGGTTTAATTGTTTTAGGACGAAAGTTTAAAGAAAAGGAAAAACAAAATAAAATAAATCAAAATAAAACAGGCTTTGGGTTTGCTAAGCCTCACAAAGCCTAGAGGTAAAACCCAGGCTCCCGCGTCCCAGGCTTTCCGGTGACGACTTCTGCAGGTCCTGTCGTCCCTTCAGGATCTGGCAACAGTGTCACAGCTCCTGCCTGGTTGTGGGATAAGATTCTGTGTGGGGTAAGATGCTGTGTGTGGGGGTAAGATGCTGTGTGGGGGTAAGATGCTGTGTGGGGGTAAGATGCTGTGTGGGGGGTAAGATGCTGTGTGCGAGGAGAATAGAAGATACTGTGTGTGTGGGGAGGGGGGAGGGAGGTTTTTTGAACTTGGTAAAATAAATTATCTAGATATTTTTAACGTTATTAATATTATCACAAGCTAGAGTGTTCTCCCTGGGTCCTGGAAGGTACTTAGAGCGACTGGAGTTTCAAATTAGATCTTTTCAGAGCCCGGATTGGCCGAGGCTCTTACGTGACTGAAGATGCTCGGATATATTTAACTGGGTAATTTAACAAAAATATAATAAAAAAATTAATTAGAAAAATTACATAAAAATGAATATAAGACCTAACATTAACCTAACCTAACAACTAATCTAACGTTAACCTAACCTTACCTAACCTACCCTAACCTAACCTAATCTAACATTAACCTAACGTAGCCTAACACAACCTAAAAAAAAATGACAGATGAATATAAGACCTAACATTAACCTAACCTAACCCGTACGTAACCGTGTGTTCTGGAGTTATGTGAGAATAGTATCAGTGTAAGGTTAGGTTAGGCTAGATAAGATTTGGGTTAGGTTAGGTTAGGTTAGGTTAGGGTGAGTTAGATATGAGCCTTCCTTGTTTATGTTTCTGGTGATGAAGTGAACCGTGTTATAAGCGACTTAACATCGTCCTCAAGTACTGTGCATTGGTCTGTGGCTTACCTCATGAATGTGTGTGTGTGTGTGTGTGTGTGTGTGACAGAGAGAGAAAGAGGTCAATATATGTTTGTATTTGAACAGGAATGCGTGAGAGAAGGTAAATATGTGACCGTATAGAAGGAAGTGTGTGTGTGTGTGTGTGTGTGTGTGTGTGTGTGTGTGTGTGTGTGTGTGTGTGTGTGTGTGTGTGTTTTGCTGGTCACAGAGCAAAAAATTTAAAGATCCATTGACGTGTACAGTACTGCAATCCTTTCAGTAAATCGAATATTATATGTAAATCACTTGTAATCAATATAATCAGAGGATAAGACTTAACTACCTCAGCTAGGGTAGTTAGCTTCGTATTGGGATAGTTAGGTAATAAAATGGTGAAGGTGTGGTTATAAGGGGAGGTTGGAGGCCACGTTATTATAATTATTATTATTTTTATGTAATAGTAGTAGTAGTAGTAGTAGTAGTAGTAGTAGTAGTAGTAATAGTGATATTAGTGTACCTCATAAGTAAAAGTAAATATTTTTTATTAATGTGAAAATATTGTTGTGTTGCAGGTGGTGTAGTGAGGGATCTGCCACCACACTCGGCGGAGATGTGTCAAAATGAGAAGTATGAGGAAGAAGTGTGATGTGAGTTAGTGAGTGTGTGAGGTGAGTGACGCCCCCCTGGCTGGGTGGATGCGAGGCTCAGCCAGGTACAGCCCAGAGGAACCCACGAGACCCTATGGTGGCAGGTCCGGGGCGGGGTCCTACAGGAGCGTCAGGATGCGCACGGACTGGGGCATCTACGAGGACCCCGGCCACCTGCGGGGGGGAGGCATCTACAGTGTGAGTGATGTAGCTGGGGTGGGGGTCTACCACGACGGCGCTGACGACGACGACTTAGTGGACGACCATAGGGGGGACGAGAAGGTGTATGGCTTCAGCCCCCCCACAGGCTCGCGGCTTTCCTCCACCGGTAAGTGGTCGAGCACACACAGTCTAGCGCCAGCGTCCTCACCCGGCAGGAGTGTACACAGTATTAGTGGCGGTGCTTCAGGGGGTCACCGAGCGTCCCTGGGGGAGAGCCACAGGCCCACTCACGCTAACTCTTACGTCAGGGACTCACTCAAACGACACGACTACTCTCGCCAGCACCATCAGTCCCGTAGCACTAACGCCGTCGAGGCCCTCTACAGGAGTGTTGACAAGCGTAGTGGAGACCGCGTCGCTAACGGCGGCAGCAGCACCAGTGGCAGCAGGTCCCAACAGCCGCAGCAGGGACGTAGCTACTCTGCTGGTAGCAGGAGCGAGTACAGCACACCTGCTGCCGGCTACAGGAGCCTAAGGAGCTATCCGACAACTGCCGACGACTATGATGACAGGGAGCCCCGAAGCTTAGACAACTCGGCCCTGAGCGACGGTTACAACGCCAGGGCGACAGAGTACGCCTCCTCCCGGGCACACAACAGCATCAAGCGCTCCAACAACAAGGAGTACTTTACCCCTTCTGAGATCTACAGCAACCGACGTTCCTACCCTTCCGACACCCACCCCACCAGAACCTCCGTCACCAAGGGCATCCTCACTAACTCCAACAAGTACAGTGGAGGCAGCAGGAGTAGCATCTCCATTTACAATACTGAGAGTCGTAACAACCTCTCAGGGTATAGTGTTCACAACGACGAGGGCAAGAACAACCTCTCGGTTCCAGACACGTACGAGAAAAGAGGTATTTCCTCGTACTCGTCCAGACAGTCTGTGAACACCTCCACCAAAGGCAGCCAGACTGAGGTCTCTATATCTAGTGACCTCCAGTACGCCAGCGAAGGCCGCACTGGCAGTAGATCCAACACCCTTCAAGTCCCTGAAGGTATCAGCAGTGGCAGCAGCAGGCGCAGTAGTAGCAGCACTCAGCAGGTGACCTTCAGGACCGTTGCTAGCGGAGGGGGGTCAGACAGCAGCCAACAGAACGGAAAGGAGGACCGCTATGACACTCTAGGCCGCAGGGAAGCCGGAACCCTCAGGAAGGACCGCAAGAAGAACACCAAAGACGAGCAGAACCAGACGGAGGACGACATGAGTCAGTGGGGAGGACGGAACGGTGGCGGAAGCGCCCAGTGGGTCGGTCAGGGTCACGACCATGGCGACCCCGGGTACGCCCACGAGTCTGCCCTTCACCCACAACACAACCACTCCCGTGCCCTGCCCCTCCCTCGACCACCCTTACCCCCCCAACACTACCCGGGGCACGACAGTCAACCTCAGGGAGGGCATCACCCATCACCTCCACCCGACCATGCCCACTACACCCAGCAGCAACACAACCACGCCTACCACAACCACGGCCACAACCACGTCCACCACACGCAGCACTCCAGGCACCAGTCCGCCGGAAGCGGCCAACCACTCGTGAAAGCAGATTCTGCTGATGGTGAGTACAACTGTGTGTTCCTGTGTTGACGGGAGGCTGGGAGGGTGAGGGCAGCAGGTGTACATTTGATCAGTAAACTCACGACAAAAATTGAGTCCAGAAATCATCCCATCGAGGAACATTACCAAGGAGGAATACAGTAACTCACTCACTCAGCCTCAGGTTCATACTTGTTGACAATGGCCTCCGTCCTATTCGTTGCAGATGTGAGTTTACGGATTAAAAAACATAATTACAATGACTACCACTATTTAATCCCTCGAGGTACTGATCCATCACAGGTGTACTGATAAACTGTGTTGACGGTGACACAGTATTAACAAATGGTTGTGATGGGGTGGGGGGTAGTACGTTCAGGCATAATTACATGAATCACTCGGTATGGACTCGTCCTATAGAGACAATTTCTCCAACATACATGACGATGTTTAGCTTCTATTTGAGGTAAAGGAGGAGAAGGAATTTTAATATTGAATTTATTTAGATTTGTTTTGTGTGTGTGTATTCTGGAGTGTTTTTTCACGTTATTCATTTGTTTTTGTTTTTATGAAAGGAACCTTCACCAGCTGTATGTCAATCACGGCTCAGCAAACACAAACACAGACTACTAGGCAAAGAAATACACACACACACACACACACACACACACACACACACACACACACACACACACACACACACACACACACACACACACACACACACACACACACACACACACACACACACACACACACACACACACACACACACACACACACACACACACACACACACACACACACACACACTCCACCAAGCAGCAACAAGAACAGAAGGAGCGAGGGAAGAAGAAAGACTTATTTCACAAACAATATCGTAAATATTAGAGGGAGTGTGTCGGTCTGTTTCTTTATCGTCCCCCGCACACACCAGCTCACGTAATGCGGTTCTTTATCGAGTTCAGCCAAGATCTACACCAGAGCCTCGAAATAATGATGGTTTTACACTTGGGGCTCTGAACCGAAGGCAATTCTTATACGTAAAGGAACCCGGATCTATTTTTATATTTGGGTCTGGGTAATGTAACCTAATTTAACCTAAGTCACATTAACCTAACATAAACTTAATTTAACCTAACCTAACCTAACCTACTACCACCACCACCACCACCACCAACAACAACAACAAGAAACAAATGGCTAAAACTACGTCTAATAATAATTACCCAAAGCGGAACAGTCATTAGCGTGTCTCATAAAAGGTAATAATGAGTCATCCTCTCACACTAGAACCCTCACCAATATTTAGACATTTTTTTCCCTCTGAGTTTATTGGCGTAGTTGGAGCCCTTACTGTCAATATGATGTAGTTGTAGTGTAGCTGTAGTGTATTATTTAGGATTTGTAGTATTTGGGATTTGTATTATTTAGAATTTGTATTATTTAGGATTTATATTTAGAATTTGTATTATTGAGAATTTGTATTATTTAGGATTTGTATTATTTAGGATTTGTATTATTTAGGATTTGTATTATTTAGGATTTATATTTAGAATTTGTATTATATAGGATTTGTATTATTTAGGATTTGTATTATTTAGGATTTGTATTATTTAGGATTTGTATTATTTAGGATTTGTATTATTTAGGATTTGTATTATTTAGGATTTGTATTATTTAGGATTTGTATTATTTGGGATTTGTATTATTTAGGATTTATATTTAGAATTTGTATTATATAGGATTTGTATTATTTAGGATTTGTATTATTTAGGATTTGTATTATTTAGGATTTGTATTATTTAGGATTTGTATTATTTAGGATTTGTATTATTTAGGATTTATATTATTTAGGATTTGTATTATTTAGGATTTGTATTATTTAGGATTTGTATTATTTAGGATTTATATTATTTAGGATTTGTATTTTATAGGATTTGTATTATTTAGTAAATTGGTATTATTTGGGAATTTATATAATGTAGAATTTGTATGTCGTGAGTCAGGTGATGGTTTGTGTGGCTGGTTGAATTAAATGGTGCTTGTTTGTCACGGGATAATATAAAAAGTATGGAAAGTGTGTGTGTGTGTGTGTGTGTGTGTGTGTGTGTGTGTAAAATAGAGTTACTACAACGAACATAATAATCAACTTTTTCAGGGTATACGACACTCACTGAATGTCACAGGCGCTGCAGGGGGTGGTGGGGGGGAGGGGTGGGAGGGGAGGTGGGGAGGGGGAGAGATAGGGACACAAAATACTGGAATTGATAGATATTTTTTATGCCTTTAAGGCTGTTATTTAAAGGTGTGTGTGTGTGTGTGTGTGTGAGAGGTAGCCTGACCCCCCTCTCTCCATGATTGACCTCTTCATGACAGCTCTATATACAACCTCACAAGGTGACTTCCTAAATCATCCAACCGTGTGCCACTATGACCTTTCAACACACACACACACACACACACACACACTTTTTATTGACGTCACCATATTTGACCTGACCTTGTTGCTTAAACCTCTTTGAATTATATTGCTGACCTCTTGAGTACAATGAAACAGCCTCATTGAGTACGATGATTTAACCCTTATCTATCCCCCAATAGGAGATAAGTAAAGATAAGAGATGTATTTATTTTTGTTTGTTAATTAAGCTATTAGTAGAAAGTAGCAATAGTAGAAAGTAAAAGTTATGAAAAAGTAATAGTTTTCTCTTGGGTGGATTAGAGGTATACTTTCCCCTAGGAGTGGTGGTGTAGAGGCTTGTGTGTGATTTGTGGGGGAAAAATTAGCAGAAAATATTCAAGAAGAGGGATTTTTTTTTTGTGAGGGAGGAAACCATATTCAGGGTCTTAGAGGCTTGTGAGGTAAATATAGTTCGTAGCTGTAGATGTAGGAACCTAACCTAACCTAACCTAACCCCAGAAGTCAGGCCAGGCAAGTAAGGTATAGTGCCAAGTCAGCGAGGTATAGTGCCAGGCCAGTCGGGTATGGTGCCAGGCCAGGGGGGTGTATTGCCAGGCCGGGGAGGTATAGTGCCAAGCCAGGGTGGTATAGTACCAGTCCAGCGATGTATAGTGCCAGGCCAGTGAGGTATAGTGCCAAGCCAGGGTGGTATAAATACCAGGCCAGTGAGGTATAGTGCCAAGCCAGGGTGGTATAGTACCAGTCCAGCGATGTATAGTACCAGGCCAGTGAGGTATAGTGCCAAGCCAGGGTGGTATAGTACCAGTCCAGCGATGTATAGTGCCAGGCCAGTGAGGTATAGTGCCAAGCCAGGGTGGTATAGTACCAGTCCAGCGATGTATAGTGCCAGGCCAGTGAGGTATAGTGCCAGGCCAGCGATATATAGTGCCACAATAGCGGTTTATTGATGGGCGGGAGGTGAGGTAAGGTGAGGTGGGTGAATGCGGGCACTGTGCTGTTCAGTACTAATGACACACAGTAGAAGCTGTTTTGTGTTGTGCTGTGGATGCTGTGCTGTTACCTTGCTTTGTGCTGCGTTAAGGAAGAAGAGGGGGTGGGGAGGAGGAGGAGGAGGAGGAGGAGAAGGAGAAGGAGAAGGAGAAGGAGGAGGGGGAGGGGGAGGGGTAGGAGGGGGGACAGTGAATATAAGTTACAACAAAGCTCTCTCTCTTCTTCCTCCTCTCCCACGTTTTGCCGTTAGTTATAAAAGGTGTTGACGGCTGGTACATCATCATTATCATCATCATCATCATCATCATTATCATCATCATCATTATCATCATGACTACGTCTCACACTATTGACGTCACCAGGCTGATAGAGCACATTGTATCTTGAGAATTGGTCCACTTGTGGTAGAGGGTGAAAGTGACAGTAGTGAAGGATGACGAGGATGGTGACGATGATGGTGACGAGGATGGTGACGATGGTGGTGACGAGGATGGTGAAGAGGATGGTGACGACGATGGTGAAGACGATGGTGACGATGATGATGGTGACGCAATTCCTCCCTCGTCACCTTCAGATTAAGTCTTACGTCATCGTCATGTTCCCACGTCTTTGTTGTTGTTGTTGTTTGATTGATATTGTTGTTCTTGTTGATGTTATTGTTGATGGTGTTGTTGTTTATTGGTGTTGTTGTTGTTATTGATTTTGTTGTTTGTTGTTGATTTTTTGTTTGCTGTTGTTTTTGTTATTGTCTTCGTTGTTGTTGTTAAGAATAGTTGACTTAAGAGGTGATAATGAGGTATCTTAAGCCAGTGAATATATGTTACCTTAACCTGCTGAGTACAATGAGTTAAACCCCCTTGAGTACGATTTTTTTTAACCCCTTGAATAGGATAGCTTAACCCCCTTGAGTACTATATTAACTCCCTGAGTACTATATTAACCTCCTCAAGTAAGATATTCTAACCCCTTGACTACGATTAATATTCCCTTGAGTAAGATAACATTGTACTCAGTGGGCCATATTATCATCCCTGGGACCGAGGAATTCCATAATGAACACTGTGACTCCTGTTGTCTCGGTAGGGCTGTTAAAATCCTTCGTCCGTTATGTCATCATATTGTCTCACTCAAAATCGTAAAGATACTTTTTTTTGGAGCGAGTTTTTACATTAAATTACAATCGAACTAAGGGGGTAACAAGAATGGGTTGAAACCTTGAGTATAGAGACAGATTAAAGCATCTATTTGCACGCCCTCGAGAGACGTTGAGTGAGGGGCGATATGATTGAGGTGTATAAATGGAAGTCAGGGTTAAACAAAGGTGATATAACAAAGGTACTCAAACTATCCAACCAGGAGCGAACAAGTAGGAATGGTTTTTAATTAGACAAATTTAGATTTAGGCGAGAGATAGGTAAACATTGGTTTGGAAAATAGAGTAGTGGTGAATGGAACAAGTTACCAAATATCATCATTAACTCGAATACTTTGGGTAGCTTCAAACATTAAGTTGGATGGATATATGAGCGATACGGGTTGGGTGTAAATGGGACTGTCCAGTATGAGACAATAGGCCCACTGCAGTTTCCTCCATTCTTATGTTAAAC